GGGGGGGGGGGGAAGAATTGGATGGGACGGAAAGCTTGTACCCGTCATTAGTAAAGAACCCACAGACGAGCATTGACTCGGTAATAATATTATCAATACTCCAGACTAGGGGGGGGGGGGGGCGCTCTCTGTGCTTTCTAACTTGTGGTTCATACCCGTACGAGTACTCCGTACAGATTACACGGAACGGAACTTGCCTCGTCCGTTTTACGGACCGGGGAAGCTTGAGCGCTGCATGCGCAATCGCAACATAATTTTTTTTTTAAAAAAGAAAAGAAAATTAAATAAATGGATCGACTACGCGTACAGCGCGTTTTACTCACTCTTCTTCCTTCTCTTGACCAGTAATACGGGATAGATGCATCGGCTCATCTTTCCAATCATGGCATCAGCACACGGTGGTGCTAAAACGCTTGCTCCGGCTACAAACTCGTACGACTTGAGAGGGGGGCGTGTATGTTATGGACTGGAGTCGTGAACAAGCCTTTCTTTCAGACAAGCCTTTTCTGCCACTATCGTGGGCAGTAATAAACTTTTATCAGCACTCATATGAACAATCCCCGTCAATTCTTATGCGACGACAATCAATGTGGGAAAAAAAGACTCTTCTTTCTTGCGTGGATATATTCTATGTACCTTTTTTTTGGGTCATTCATCTTCTTTATATCATTCATCTTAGTCATTGTCCCAAGACACCCCCCTATCATATATCCCTCCTCCCATTACACATGATGCAATCAATATCCTCTCTGAAACCCGAGGACGTATGAAAACGAAAATGAGGGAGAATGCTCCCTCAGGAAAGCCAAAAAAACGCCCAAACCCTTGTCTCCCAGACATTTTGCACAAAAATCCCAAGGCTACCTAAAAGAAAGAAAGGAAACGAATCTATATATACAACAAGTTTTGGAAAAAAAAAACTGCAAGAGAAATAAAAAGAAAAAGAGAGAGAAGAGAAAAGGGAGAAAAGAGAGAAGGAAAGAAAGGAAAAAAAGAGAGAGAAAAAAAAAAGCCCCAGAAATTCATTTCTCATTCCGCTCATGACCACTCTCGTTCAGCCGAGATGAAGACCTTTTTTTCTCTCTCGTCCTGCAGTGAGGCGGGACAAGGTTCGTCCAAGGGCATCAGACGAGTTCCCTTACCCGACAGCTCTCCGCGCAGCTAGCTCCCCGTCCAGTGGGGAGAGGATGAGCCTGCGTCGCGTTGGCGAATGCAGCCGCGGCGTCGGCATCATCGTCGGCATCATCATCGTCATCTCGTACGTCATACCTCTCTGGGGGGGGTACTAGGGAGCCAGATCCGTCGATCCGGAGCTGCTACTCGACCCGGATGTGATGCTCATGTGGCGGCGTACGCGGTGCACGAGCGACCAGATGCCGAATGAGACGAGTGCCAGGACGATGAAGAGGACGATGATGATGACGGCGATGGTATCATTCTTCTTCATGATGGCGGCGTCTCTCTGTATCTTCTTTTCTTTCCTTTTCTTCTTCTTCTTCTTGTTCTTCTACTTCCTTTCCCGGTTTAAGACTGGAGTGGTCCGAAGGAAGGGGGGGGAGATATTGATATCGTAGGTTCAAGTTGATGACGTGTGTGTGTGTGTGTGGGGGGGGCAGGCCGATCCGATCCGGGGCAAGGAATGCGGGTTGTGCGTGTATTGTGCCTTGTTGGTAAAGATATCCGAGAGCTTGTCTCTGTGTTAGTCTCGTGGCATGCTCGAAGAGAGAGAAGAATCATTCCGGAAGGGAAGAGGGAGCCTACCAAGTTTTATATATGTGTGTGTGTTGACGACGGTGATGTCGTGTTGTCGACGCTTTGAGATGGGTGATCTCTTTCTTCTTGTAATCTTTCTTAGAACTTTGAGAGCAGAGATGTGAGATGGCTGATAAAAGATGTATACAGTATCTGACAAGGTAAGCAAGGAAAAATTTCTCTTGTAAAATATGGTAGTATATATGTAAAAGAGTAGAAAGACGGTCAACTGGAATGTGCAGATGGCTTTCAAGTTATACCACGCGTTGCCCCGCCACCGGATTTTTTTTTTGGTTTTTCTTCTACTCCGTACTTCTTTCAAATTGTATGAGAAAATGGCAAGGCTGGGACGTAGAGGAAGAAAAAAGCGGTTGGCTGGGGTTGAATGGGAGCTGCAGCGGTTAATAAGTGGGGAAGGGGCCGCATTCATACCCAGCTACTAGTTGGCGTCAGGTACCCAAACCTGTATTATGTAACTAAAAAAAAAAAAGAGGGGGGGGGAGGGGGGAGAGAGAAGGAGAAGAGAAAAAAAAACATCCAGGACATGGTATGCACGCCATCGTGATTGGTTGGACAAGGCTTCAATTCGCCTTCGCCTTGTCGTCGCCTCCTTCCTTTCCTACATGCAAGTCACATTTCTCTCATACCTCCTCACCTCTTCTCTGTCAAAAAAAAAATCCTTCTTTTCTTCTTCTTTTTCTCTTTGCGACGCATTTCATCTGCATCTCTCTCTCTCTCTCCCTTACACATTCATTACATTTGAAATCAAAGACAATTCACCAAATACCATTATACCATTTTCTCTATCTTCCCAGTACTCCTCGATCCATTGATGGAAGGAAGCATCCCCGGCCGATGATGCCGAGAAAATGAAATAGATGAAACAAGAGGGAGAAGAAGGAAGGAAAAGAAGAAGAAGAAGAAAATCATATCCATATCTCCTCCCTCCCGTCCGGACATCCCAAAAGGGAAAGATAGATTAAAAAATAGAAAAATAAAAGAGTGACGGCAGACCAGAACTTGGGAGGGGGAGTCAAGCCGCAGAGGAAAGAGACCCAGACAAAACAAAATCATTGGGAAGACGCCCGAGATAAAGGGATAGGGGAACAAGGAGACTTCATGATGGGTATACAAGACTCAGAGCCCGGGCATAAGAGCCAAACCCCGGTACAGCAGTCAAGAGGGAAGCGAGAGACGAGATGGGAGACACGAATGAGCAAAGAGGGCGGTATACGTGGTCACTGCCCATTCCTCGCCTCGTCGACTGCTGCTTCGGCCTCATCCCTGATGATTTTGACGTGACGCTCGTAGAATTGGAGCATCTAGTTTTCCACCAGGGTTCGTTAGTCTCGTGTACGTGTGTGTGCATGTGTGTGTGTGTGCCGCGACGAAAGAAAATCCAGCCATGAAAAAAAATAAAAATAAGAAGAGACGACATAGGCAGAGCACATTACCTTTTGAGGACACTTCTTATAGATGACAGAAGTATCGTGCTTCGTCTTCCTCCCATTCTTCCAGTTGAGGTAGACGATCAGCTTTCCTTTGCCCTCGTCCTCGCAGGCGTCAATGTCATTGATCTCGTCCTCCCACGATCCGGATGGGGGCAGCCACTTGGCCGGCACGGGCGGCGTCGACGACCGGGGGTGGCTGCCGCCGCCGCCGCGCGGCCGCTTCGATGAGCCGGCGTTGCTGTTCTGCTTGCTCGTCGTCTTCGTCGTCGTCGGCCTTCCTCGCTTCTTGCCCCGCGCCGCCTTGCTCGTCTCGTCCAGGATGGCCTGGCGGCCTCCGATGCGCTCAAGGTAGCTCTTGACGATGTCGCCGGCCGATTCACTAACAGCGCAGGAATAATCAATGTCCGTTTCTCTCCAAGTGCTCTTCTTTCTTCCTTTGTTTTTTCTTTCTTCTCCTCCGCTTCTTCGAATCTGCCTCGCCAGACAGCCACCGCAGCAGCAGAGGCAGCTGTCGGCATGTCAAGCTGAATACTCACACTAGGTTCTCCTCGGGTTCCCACGTCAGGTCCGACTTGCTCTCCCACCCTTCCCACTTGACCTGGAATTTGATGTTTCCCTGTGTTTTTTTTCCGGCCCAGCATTAGCATGCCTCACGGAGGAACGAACCCAGCCCAGAAAGGCGCGCGCAGTCTTACCCCTTCGTCCACCATGTGCTTCTTGATGGCTTCGACGACGAACCTGGCAGCAAAGTGTCAGTCTCCCATGCCACCAGGGGGGGGTATATGGTGTGAAGAGCTGGAGGTTCCTGGCGGGGTTCCCCTCACACATCGTCATCCTCTTCCTCGTCATCATCACCCTCATCCTCATCCTCGTCATCCTCGTTGTTGTTCTCATCATCCTGGCCCATGTTGGCGTCGTCGTCGGGCCCGACGGACTCGACACCGTCGTCTCCGCCCTTTGCACTGCGCGTCGGTCCCGAAGACGGCGATCGTCGAGAGATGGGGACGTCGTCTGCGCCTACGAGCTGCACCCCGTCGTTGGGATCTGATGGGAGTGGAAAGCCTCTGATCAGCACCTCGGTCCTTCTTCTTCTTCTCCTTACGTCTTCCCGGGCGGCTGGCCCGCCATCAGCTGGGACACCTCGCTCGCCATCATGGTAGCGTCGATGTGATGGTAACTTTGGCTGCGAGAACCCTCGCACATCTTTTACGTAGTCGCTCTTTCGAGCGAGTGGCTGCGGAACCTACCGGTAGACATGCTTCGTTCTTCTTGGGCCTGAAAGTGCGCGTCCAGGTGGGGGTGGCAGGAAGACGGTTCCGCAACAGACGTCAGCGGCTCTCTATGAGCGGATTTACTTCGAGATTTCTTTGTGAGTCGATCACCTTGTTGCTTTTCGCGTAGAATTGCCAACGTTGGAGACCGAGAGGCTGGGTGGATGCGCTCGCGCGTTGCGATGGTATCTCTAGAAGTAGACGTCACTTGCGCTTGAGTCGTCGCGAGATTGCGACCAGCTGCCTGGCTTCGACGTTGAGCCGACGCGACATCACGTGATGTAAAATCTTCTTTACGCGCTGGGCGGCCACGCAGACACTGGAGGGACGATATGGCGGGCGGTTTTCGCTCCCCATGTCACCCGTTCTTGCCTCCTTGTCTTCTTCCTCCCATTGTTCCCCATACCTGTGTCCAATGGCTGATACCGTGATTACTTTGCTACTACCTTGCCCATCAGCTTCAGAATTCAGAACGGTCATCAGCTACCCTATACCTGACCTCGACTTCCAGCATCAAACACCTCCGTCGCATCATCAGCAGAAACCGTCGAAAGTAAGTTAGTGGGACGAAGACAGATGGATATTTCCAACCCCTCCCTTTGTGTGTCTAGCTTCTGACCAGATACCGAGGCCATCCTTCCATGGCAGATGCCCCGCTGACTCCCGTCTATATACGACGACACCAACTCTCTCCGCAAGCCACCGTCCCTGACAGAGCGTGAACATGTCAGGCCCGAGTCTCGACTGACCAAAAAAAAAAACATACACACATCAGAGGGTGGAAAGGGGTCGAGGCACTGTTTTCATCTGCCGGCTGCTCCGTGTTCCGATGCACGTAGCACATAATCACACCATCCTAGTTTAAGACAGCAGCTGGCGAGAAGGCAGTCACCGGGAAGAGCGCACGCGTGAACACTGATTGGTAGAGACTGGACCCTATCTCGGCGAGACGAGATGGGTGTCTCTCTCCCATGTTGACACGCACGTCGTAACACCACATACATGTACTAGATGACGCCCCAACATCACCGAACATGCAAGGGTCCAGGGAGGTGAGGTGGATGAGCAGCGACTGGGCACTGGACACTGATCATGTGGCGCGCAAACTGCCCCCCCTTATCCCGGTAAAGCAGATGGTTGGTTATCTAGCACAAGTACCCACGAACTAGCCGATTCAATGACTACTCCTACCATGGCCATTGGTCGTCGGTTGACGGTGAAAGGAGACAAGTTGTCGTGGGTGTGGAGATGGGGACGCCTGATGATGCCTTCAATAAAAAGTTGGGAGAGGGTCGAGAAGAAGGAAAGGTGACGAGGCAGGATTGCTGGCATCCTCGCTATCAGTCGCTTAACCAAGGAGCTAGAATGCTTGGATAATTATCGCGTAGCAAGCCAAGGATATCGAATCCTATACGGATTATAATCATTCACGTTTCCACACCACCACCCTCTTACTCTATCCCCTCCCCGGTATCAGACCCGAACCCGCGTGTTTACCGGCGCAAACGAACCCCATATTGCGATGAGACAGAGGGGCGTTCCGGATGACGGAGTGGGGTTTGTCTCTGTCAGATGCCGCCGAATCTGAATGTGATGACCCTGGCTTTGTGTTCTCATGAACTCGCCGTGCTCAGCATGTTCCTGAGCGGACGTGTGTGGTGATGATGGAGACCAACTGGCGACGTGGTAAAAATGAGAGGAAAAAAACAAGGAAAAAAAAAGGAAAAAAAAAAACAATAAACTCCCGTGTATGAATATCCAATCGGCTCTTCACGGGCCGATCGGGCCCACTGAAGATCCCAGCGTCCAAGCGCGGTGGTTGACCCTGCTTTGCAAGACGCGGTCGAGGCCAGGACGAGTCCAGGGCAGAAGAAGGAGATGGAGGACGAGGGGTATCCGCGCAGGAAGGTCTTCTCAACGCACGAAATAGTAGTAGATGTTGGCATACCCGGATGAGGCGCGTTGGTGAGAGGTAAAGGGGGTGGGGGTGGGAAGAGGTACGTGTGTCCGTGTGTGTGGGGGGTCCGTGATGTCGAACACATGCGTGTACATGTAATCTGTACACGGAGGAAACAGCGGCTAAGCTGACTTGCTCATGGCAGTACGGATCACAAGTATTGACGGTCGTCTGTTCTTTTATGGCCACGATGATGGGAATTCCTGATACTTCGTAGCTGTTGATCTCATCTCATCGGTATGATTGGGTGACAGGTCTGATGTCGTCGCATCATGTATCGGGCCTGGCCTTTTACTGCATCCAATGGAAACGTACCATGCCATTGGCACGGCATGCATTGAATGTCGGTGGCTTGATGAGCGCTAACCTCTAGCAGGCACAGTCGATTCAATGAGCGTCGAGTAAAACTCATCATTGACGAAAATGGGAGCTACGAGCTATGCCCGCACTGCTGATCAGTATATATACTGTGCATGCGGTAAGATGGCGCGGCGGCAGGGCCGCCAATGACAACGATCAATTGTAGTATTCCAAGGCTGCAAATGGATAGGGGGTTGGGTTCATGCAGCCTCTCTTCTCTCTAGCCTCTTACGTGGTAGGCTCACGATGTACATGTACCCTCTGCGCTAATCGTACGTGTGTGTGTGTGTGTGAGTGTGTCTAGGCAGATTTATCTAGAATCGAGGAGAACATCACTCGCCACCCGAAGAAGGTTGAAGGAGGCAATGCACATGCATGCATGCACACGAGAATGCGAGTACGTCGTAAGTCTTGGAGGGTAACGTCTGGTTTCAGGGCTGGCCGTCGAACCGGGGACTCGTACACGTAGGACCTACCATGTTTGGAACTGGTCTGGATAGTCGATGCGTCGCCGAGGGGATGGCATTCATCGTGCAGCCGCAGTGTATTACCTGCGTAGCATTGATGTATGTCGTATCCGGCCTCTGCTCCCTGTATGCTCACTCTAGATACATTAATGGTTGGTCTTGAAGAAAGAGCCTAGGATGATTGATGCATGGAGGAGGCGAGGGTGACGAAAACCCGATGTCTCACGAGTAGACGTAGTCTCACTACGGGTAGACGTACTCTATCATGCTTTCTTTCTCGGGTCGTCGGGTCAGAAGCAGAGACGTTGTCGGATCTGACAAGGACGGAGTCCAAGTACTCGAGGCACGGTCAATCCACTCAAAGGTGGGATATCTGTCATCAGGCACCAGAGTTACTGTTCTTCTCGTCATTATCTCTTGTCGAACTTGACATCCTGCAGTCAAGCTTAGATTGCCCAATCTACGCATGATTGTGTGCTGCGACCAGTAATCTCTGCAAGGGCCCGGTATGCAGAGAGAGCTTTCCTCCTCGGGCAGTGAATGTCATCCTCCGTCATTCTAGGTTAAGGAACCTGTCTAGGCAGGAGAAAACGTTGAGGAACATTGTTCTTGTGTTCCCGATGTGTACGGCAACTATGATTACGATAATCTGTACCGCTGCTGTTACCCCGTATTGATACTGACGCCCGGTCACCAATTTCCTCGGTCAAGAAGCGAATGTGAAAGTCAGGGGGGGAGGGGTTGGGTTTGGGGTTTGGGGTTTCCAGGTGTTCGCCCCCCTACTTAAGATTAGTAACGGTCATGATGCGATACATGCATGCTGATGATGAGCTGTGTAGAACTTTTTGCTTCTGGCCTGGTACGTGAAACTATCCTATCCCTCCCCTCTCTCCTTCTTTGGCACTCTGCTTTTTTCCTTTTTTTTTTTTTTCCAATCTCTCGCTTTTCCGACAGATCCGCCATTACCAAGCATAACGAGGTTGTCGACTGGCCCCCTCCGG